CGATCTATATGCAGCACAGATCATCTGGGAGGCTGAGTTTTATGAGGAGTGTCGTATCAGAACCGGGGGAAGACTTATCGACATACTCCGTTATGCAGATGACGCAACCTTGCTTGCTGAAACTGAGGAGGACCTGACATGCTTGCGACATAAGGTCAAAGATTGTAGTCTTCAATATGGATTGGAGCTCAATATCAAGAAGACAAAGTTTCTCACCACTGGGCCAATTGGCAGCACCATGATAGTTGAAGAAGAGCTAGAGGTTGTAAACACAGCTTTCTCAGCTCCACAATCAACACTTTTTTTAACATAAGCAGTCAGGAAGTCAGAAGACGAATTTCACTGGGAAAAATCTGCTGTCAGGGACCTCTCCAGAATGCTGAAAAGAAACAATGTCAATCTAGAGACTAATTGCTTGTCATACTTCAGAGAACTGGACAACGACTAAGGATGACAGAAGAATTGCTGCCTTTGAGTTGTGGTGTTGGAAGATTCTTAAACATACCATGGACTGCCTAAAAAACAAACAGATTTGTTATGGAGAGGGTGAAACCAAATTTCTCCTTGGAGGCTAGGATTTTGAAGCTCCATCTCACATACTTTGGGAACATAGCCAGGAGAGACTTGTCCTTGGAGAAAGGCATCATGCTTGGAATGGTAGAGGGACAGCACAGGAGAGGAAGAACGCGGATGAGGTGGATTGATAGGGTAACTGGGGCAATGGGGGTTGGTGTGTTGGAATAAGTGAGACTGGCTCAGGACAGGGCAGGCTTCAGAGCTGCTTTACACAGGGTCTCTAAGGGTCACAGGCAATTTAATGGCACATAAAACTAACAACACATAGCCAGAAACTTCACTTCCAAGGGGTATATTCATTGTTATTTTGTTCCTATCTGTCCACATTTCAAGAATTGGTATATTTCTCCTCAAATAAAATTTCTAAAAGTAGGGTTTTGGATGAAAGGGGCTCCGTGATCTCCCTGTGCTGGCAGGAAACCCTTGCACAGAGAGCAAGTCAGCATGCAGGACAAAATGATAATGTGCAGAGAGAGCCATCCTCAGGAGCTGCAAAGAGGCTGGTTAAAGTGGAGAGATCGTTGGCTGAGAGGCAGGAGCAGCTGCAGGACAGTGAGAAGAAGGTCAAAGTATTGCTCCCACAGTTACTGTTTTTCTTTGAAGTCAGCTCTTGAAGCAATGACATCTTGAAGATGCAAGGTGTTGAATAAGAAGAAAATGTGCAAGAGAAAATGAAAGCATGACAAATTTGTCAACATTTTTAGATTAGATTAGAAACCAGAAGTTCCAGTTCCCCCCCCATCCCCCATCTGTTTAGATTGCTTTTCTCAAGCAACATTTGGTAGGCTAACCTGAGGAGAGAGATCAACTGAAATGGACTTATTCTTTTCCTACAGGCTGCAGGAGAATTCCTTGACCAATGGTCATTATTCACCAGGTCACTATTGTTTCAACAACAGTCTGTGAAATGGAACAGCTGTAGAGATAGTCTGCTTTGATAGCATCTCTTTGTATTTCCAGAAATTACGCATGCATATTACAAAAAAGAGCAAAACCCCTGAGCTAATTAGATGTTGTTGTTGTTGTTGTT